TCTCTCTCTACTAGTAACAACAACTTCTTTGTACTCATTTGAGTGATAGGATATGATTCTCTAATAAATTTATAGTTGATAGAATACTCAGAGAAGCAAATATCAAGAAATGGCTAGCCAAAGCAAGACCAAAGCTCAATCCTATATATATTGCTAAAAGATTAAACTAGGTTAATGCCTATAAGGATTGGACTGCTGAGGATTTTGAGAGAGTCATTTGGAGTGATGAGTATATTATGGAGAAATTCAAGAATCCTAGCCACCAGTAGGTTTTCCAAGAACCTAGGGAGCAGTAGCTAGCAGATTGTATTCATTCAAAGGAACAGGATAAGGGACTTTCACTAACAGTATAGGGGTGCTTTCGGAGGAAGAGAAAAGATTCCTTGGTTACTATCTTCTAAATATCAAGAAGATTAGTAATATTAGGCTCTTGAGAAGACATCTTTTTCCTGTTATTTATCAGATGATTTCCTTTGGTATGTAACTTGAAGATATTTCTTTTCAGCAAGACACTACTCCTGTTCACAAGGCTTATAGTATTATGGCTTGGTTTGAGAGGAATTGTATTGAATTGGTGAACCATCCCCCTTACTCTCCTGATTGAAATCCTATTGAGCACATATGAATTAAGTTTACAAAGCAATTGCACTAGCAGTATCCAAGGATTAGAGATACCTCTGAAGGAAAAAAAGCTGTTAAGAAGAGACTTGCACAAGTATTACCTTTGGTTTGGGAGACAATTCCTGAGGAGTTTTTTGAAAAGTTGTAGAAATCAATGCCTGATAGAGTAGCTGCAATATTGGAAGCAAGGGGTAGTTATAGTACAAAGTGTTAGCTAGTTTTATTTATTATTTTGTTCCTCTAAAATATAAATAGTAGTTCATTGATAATTAACTGTTAATCATTGAGGGTTGATCATGCTCACAGTGCATGCATGCGCCATTGACAACCCCACCATTGCCCCACCAGTCCCATGGTGCAACTGCAATAAACAGGTCTCAGATCACGAACACTTCTGACGAGGCACTGTAAGAGTGAGTACCGGCAGTGTATGGTATCTTAGACAAGCTTCCTCACCCCTCAGGATATCCTACTCGGACGCCCCCATCAGGTTACTGCACTATACTATACTCAATTGCACCTTACTCGCGTACTATGTTGTATAACAGACTCCTCCCCTCTAATCTCTCTCTCCCGCCCCTTCTCCACAAGCATTCGAACACCCAACGTATAATATAGTATTGGGGTTCTGCTCCTCCCCCTCCATACCGGATGCTCCTTCCTTCCTGCAACGAGTTAATTTACTTGTGCCCTCGTAAGCACTATCACTATGCCAATACCTTCAACACAGTAATAATGTGGTCTACCCCTCCATCCAATCTCTAACTAGGCCTCCCTGATTGGGCTTTATACTTGCACTGCAATCCATCCTCAGCCTAAGCAAAGCAATTTCCCATAATCGTCCTGAGTGTGTTCGGTTATCTGACGGCTAGGGCGAGCCACCCTACTCGTACAGAACTCGTACAAGTACCTACCTCCCGCCGCAAGCGGATCATCACTGCCATCAAGGTCCCTCTTCAAATTACGAAACCTTGACGGGTATGGTCGTACGAGTACAGCACAGTAGAGCGTAGTGTTCCGTTCTTGACGCCATCGCCTGGCTTGCTGCAGTCAGCGAGTCAGTTAGGCTGCGGATGCTTGTTCGCAACGATAGATAAAAGTGCTGTAATTGCCCTAGTACTGTACAGTCCATGTGTGTGCCTCACTGGGTGCTTTCCATCTACCCTATCGTATGATACCTGCTCCTCTAGTTTACTTTTCCCCATCTACCCATCTCCCCATCGTGTTTCCCGTTAATCCACCAGTTTCAGCACCCACTTGTCAGCCTTACCTACATGCCCTCAGGTACCGGTATGGGGCTATATTATCACGCTGACGAGCTGGGCTTTCCCCTGTACTCGTACTCGTAGCGCTCGGGTGGTGCGGTGGGCCCTTTTTTCACCGCACAGTATGATACCGGTATGTTATTGTATAGAATTTTAGTTCACTCAGTTACCGTAGCGGGGGCTGTGGCACCGGCGTAGGGCTGAAAATGCCATGTCGCCGGCTGGGTATATAATACGAAAAAGAAAATAAGGAGAAGTTCGGGGGATAGGGTATCTTGAATCAGGCATAGCGCGGTAACAAATGATAGTACGAGTATCATACTCGAGTGGTGAATGTGCTGTGCTGTGCACCGCGGTCTTTGGCCGACAGAGCTGAGTGAGATCCCGATCGGGGGAAGGAGGGAGGGGCGGGATATTACAGTATATGTGCGGTTTGTACAGTACTGTACAACATGCTGTATTACACGCGATGCCATGCTGTATTGTACGGTACCAGTATAATACAATAAGTTATCGGTACCGTAACGGTGGTAGCTTCAGTTCAAAATCAATTGTTCCGATTTGTTCGTTGAAGGGGGAACATCCGGCTGTGTGGTGGATGATGCGCAGGATGGAAGGAAATTGCGGGCCCTGCCGTGTGCTTTTTTCTTTCCGTTTCCCGCTAAAAACGGTACAAGTACTCGAGTAGAGCTACGATACTGTGCAGCTCGAGCAGGGCACTGGTGCCATCTCGGCGAGGGATCTCGATGTTCCAGCGCAGCTGCCTGCTTACCGCAGTGCACCATACAGTACAAACCCCCAACGAACTCCCAGGCGGCAGGCGGGAGGGAAGGGAGCTGATGCAGTTCCTACTGGCAAAATTAACTAGTAGAGTACCCGTACTCGAGTGCAATAGCCGTGTCTCCGGGCCAAGAATGGGCGGCCTCTTTTGGAATAGTTCCGGCGGACCCATAAAAAGGATAGCGTTGACGCTGCTTTCTTAATGAGTGCTCGAGTACTCATACGGTACAGTACACCTGGCACTGGATAGAATTATAAGTACCAAAAACGTTGGTACCTGAATTTTCAACCATGAGACTAAGCGACGCTATCAAGTGTTAAGCCTCTTATCGCCTTCACAGGCTTGAAGCGATAAATTTGCATGACATCTCACACGAATCGGTCAATAAGTTCCTGAGGCATGGGCTCCCACTCCATGCATCATATGTGTGCAATCCCGCCAGATACCGGTATCTTTCGCCACTGTCAGTCTTCCAAGCAGCCCAACCACTATTTGTACCGTACTCTAGTCTCCTTTCCCTGGATCCGCGTGGGGCTATACAAAAAGAGGCGCCCATTCTTCACTTGGAGACACGAGCGCACCACGGGTTATCCCAAACCCCGGGACTGATCGGTGGGTGGGGCCGTGCAAACTCTAGCATATGGAAGAAGTACTTTCCAGCCGCCTTCTGCCGATTGTCACAACACGTCGATCAGGTCAAGGGAATTCCCAGGTGTTATGACACGTTGGTTATTCACATATCATACGGACTATCGACCCGGAAAGGTGAGGATTCCGGCTGGAATGTTCTCCTCTTTCCAAACCGGAGCCGTTGTCGAGCCGGGAGGGGGGATACAAAGTACAGTACGAGTACAATGTGTTCGTGTTTAAACCGGGCGGACAGGCCGCAGACAAGGAAAAAAAGTCACTTGATGGGATTTTCCACCAGTTTTATGTGGCTGCGCTTCTGATTGCCGGCAGCCTTTCTTGAACTGCGAGGGGGAATGGAAAGCGATTCCCACGGGACAATTGCAAGTGGTGGGTGATATGATGATATCGCGGACTCCCTGAGCGAACAAGTTTTAACCGTTCTTTTAATCTTCTGTTTTTAATCCCCCCCCGCCCGCCCGCACAAGAAGGCAGACCGAGCAATAGTTTGTGAAGACCAATTCAGGATTTTCTTTTTTTCTTCTTTCGGGTTGATGTCCTATTTACAGATGCACAGCCGGATGAGGAGGGATGGATAAGCGAGATAGATCGATTGAATGATACCGGTAACAAGCAAAGAACAGGATAAGTGCGAGCAGGGTGTTTGGGGGTTTAATCCACTCAATTAATAAATGTTACTTTTTATAGGATTACCCTTTGAGGGTCTGCCTATCGTTGGCTCTGTTCTTTTCTTTTGTCTACTTGTGCTTCCTTCCTCCAGAAGAGAGCAACAGTCGATCGTACCGTCTAGTAAGAATTTTAGATGTCAATCGGGGAAAGCGCAGGGCAGCATATTAGGTAATTAAGAACAATAAAGCCGGCAGCAAGCCATTCTGGAAACATCGGATACAGAGGGTTCTCCCTATGACCCGGTGGCCCATGGGGACGAGAGCTTGCTGGTAGCTTGTCTTACAAAACAGGCTGTCGAGAAGATACCAAACTTAGGAATTAGTCTCCACTGGACGTAGTTTTGTGTATTTAGGAAGAGGAGGAGCAAGATCGGGCTCCCTTGTGCAACGTATCGTGTCTGAGAAGGTACCTGGGCTCTTGGCAGACAATGTGGTAGCTAAACCGCACCCACCGCCGCAACGAGGGGGTACATCACGGGGCGAGTACGATGTCCTTGTGGTGGTTGAAGTGGGGAAGTAAAGTGGGTGCCCGGGTGTGATAGGACAATCCATCTAATTCGTTTCTCGGCCTGCTCTGGAGAACCAATTCCGCTGCCCCGCGACCCAGCGCGCAGTTGTATGGGGAAGGAACGGTGCGCGGTAACTTTAACCCGAGCATCGCGCGGCGTCTGAAAACTGATGATGCTGGAGTGGTTGCGATGGTGGTGTAGCCATAGTAAGCTTGGCTGCGGAGGGGCATCTTTGGCCCAACCTGAAAGGGGCATGAAGCGAAAAATCAAATAGAAAATCAGTGCGTTGTGCAGGGTACTGTACGAGTAGGATAACTAGAAGCTTCACATCCACACCCACACCCTTAAGGGCTCATTCGTAACAATCAGGTCGAGCACACAAACGGAACTATGCGAACTCCACAAACCCTCCCCCCTCCCTGCTCTGCTCCCCCCTCCCCTACCGTCCCCCCTCCTCTACTACGGTACTTAAGGCCCTGCTACCCCTCCTGTTGACCTTTCTTTCTTCCTCTCGCTCAACTAACTGTACCATCCCTACCTACAACCTCCAAAGTCTCCAATTCCCCTCCACCCTCCCTCTTGCTCTTCATCCTTTTCTGTCCATCCTCGCCCTCAGCTTCTCTCTGCAACTGATTCTTTGTTTGCTCATCCCTGGTCTCACCCCCCGACCATAGTGCCCTCCTCCTCAGAATTGACCCTCTCGACACCCATCTATCATCAAACATCTCAGCATGTGGTATGTAAAATAATTCCATCATTGGTTCTACATTGATGAAAAAGCTCTTCAAGTTTTAGATAGAAGGGAAACTAACTTGAGTAACTACAGTGGAATCTTCGGCTATATCAATTACTTGGTCGAGAAGGACCGCAAGTACATCATTGGTACATTGATCAATGGTAGGCTCCCCAAATCCTTGAAAATTCTTGAATCACAATGGCTTGGCATGCCCCACGCTATCTAATCCCCCTATCCTGTGGACAAGCCTAATCCGTTTGCACAGGTCTTTCACGTCTTGAGTACCGCGGCTACGATTCGGCGGGTATTGCAGTCGATGGCGACAAAGAGAATGAGGTTTTCGCATATAAAGAAGTCGGAAAGGTTGCAAAGCTCAAGCAACTCATTGACGAGGCTAAGCCTGACTTGAATGCCACATTTGTCTCCCACGCCGGAATCTCGCACACCCGCTGGGCTACCCACGGACAACCTTCACGTCTAAATTGCCATCCCCACAGGTATTATGACCCGCCATTCCCACCTTGGATGAAGTAATGCAAGGGAGGATAGCGGTGACTGATGACTGGCGGTAAATTTAGGAGTGACCCCACATTCCGATTCACCGTTGTGCACAATGGTATCATCACAAATTACAAGGAGCTCAAGGCTCTTCTGGAGAGTAAGGGTGAAGTATTCGAGACCGAGACCGACACGGAATGTATCGCAAAGCTTGCGAAATATATTTATGACCAAAATCCAGCTATCGATTTCACCACCCTTGCCAAGTCGGTCATTGCCGAGCTTGAGGGAGCCTTCGGCCTGCTTTTGAAGTCAGTCCACTATCCTCACGAGGTTATGGCTGCCCGTAAGGGTTCTCCCTTGGTCATTGGTGTCAAGACCCAAAGGAAAATGAAGGTCGACTTCGTCGACGTCGAGTTTTCTGATTCCGCCCCACTTCCCGCTGAGCAGGCCTCGCATAATGTTGCCCTTAAGAACCTCAGGAACGGCCCACAAAACACCTTGGCTCCCCCGGATAAGAGCCTTCTACATAGGTCTCAGTCCCGCGCTTTCCTTTCGGATGACGGCATGCCAGTCCCTGCCGAGTTTTTCTTGAGCTCGGATCCATCAGCGATCGTAGAGCACACCAAGATGGTTCTTTACCTTGAGGATGATGACATTGCTCACATCCACGAGGGTCAGTTGAACATCCACAGGGCAGGAAAAAGTGGTGGCGCCTCTGCTATCCGCTCAATCCAGACACTTGAGCTGGAGTTGCAGGAGATCATGAAGGGCAAGTTTGATCATTTCATGCAAAAGGAAATTTTCGAGCAGCCCGAGTCTGTTGTAAACACCATGCGTGGTCGTTTGGATGCCAAGAACAAGAAGGTTACTCTTGGCGGCCTGAGACAATATCTTAGCACCATCCGCCGGTGTAGGAGAATAATTTTCATTGCATGCGGCACGTCGTATCATTCGTGCATGGCTGTTAGGGGTATTTTTGAGGAACTGACCGAAATCCCAATTGCCGTTGAGCTCGCTTCCGATTTTCTGGACAGACAAGCACCAGTTTTCCGTGACGGTGAGTTCAGTTGTAAGATCTTGCTCGAGCGCATGTGCTAAAGGCTACTAGATACTTGTGTCTTCGTCTCCCAATCTGGCGAGACAGCGGATTCCTTGATGGCACTTAAATATTGTCTGGAGCGTGGAGCTCTGACGGTTGGTATCGTCAACGTTGTTGGATCTTCAATCTCTCTTCTCACCCACTGTGGTGTTCACATCAATGCTGGTCCCGAAATCGGCGTTGCTTCTACCAAGGCCTACACTTCGCAATTTGTTGCTCTGGTCATGTTTGCATTGTCATTGAGTGAGGATCGTGCGTCTAAGGCTAAGCGACGAGAAGACATCATGGATGGTTTGACCCGCATTTCAGAACAGTTTAAGCAGATCTTGGAGCAAGACCAGGCTATCAAGGCGATGTGCTCAAAATTCTTCCACAACCAGAAGTCATTACTCTTGCTCGGCAGAGGAAACCAGTTTGCCACTGCCCTCGAGGGTGCTCTTAAGATCAAGGAAATTTCGTACCTCCACTGCGAGGCTGTCATGTCCGGAGAATTGAAGCATGGTGTGTTGGCGCTGGTTGATGAGAACCTCCCTATCATCATGATTTTGACGAGAGATGAGATCTTCAAGAAATCCCTGAATGCTTACCAACAAGGTATGGAGAATCTCTCTTGCAGCCCCATCGCTCTAGTTACTGATTATCTACCCCCTTAGTTGTTGCCCGTGGTGGTCGTCCAATCGTTATTTGCAACGAGGCCGATGAGGAATTCAAAAACGAGAAGTGCGAGAAGATTGAGATGCCTACGACAATTGACTGTCTGCAGGGTCTACTCAATGTGATCCCTCTCCAGCTCATCGCTTACTGGCTCGCGATTGCCGAGAACCTGAACGTTGACTTTCCTCGTAAGTTTCCCCGAACCCTGCCCGGCCGTTTGAATGCACATGACTAACCTTCTGTTAGGGAATTTGGCCAAATCGGTTACTGTTGAGTAAGGCTCTTGTAGCGGGCACCCATTGTTGTTAGCGGTGTTGGATATCCAGTTTTTGTTCGGGAACCTAGGCTTTTTGTTTTTTACTAATGTTTTACGAATGATTGGATGGGTCAAATGAGCGGTCGATGTAGACTTTGAATGAGAAAAAAACGGGAGAATCTCGGGGTTAGTTGTGGGACTCATTTTCAAAAATAAAAAATATATACCTGCCTTTTTCTTACTGGTGGAGAATCTGAGACCAAGCGCCGTTTATCGGGGGGATCTGTGTGTAAACTTGAACATGAACGTTGCATTGTGTTATGGATGGACTTTCATGCACGTATAGACAAGGGGTTGTTGGGGCGAGGAGAAAAAATTCAGCAACGGGAACTCTACGACATGACAGGGTGGGTAGATTTATCATAGCCGTCTACGGTACTAGTAACCTGTACGAAATGATGCTGAGTCAATCACCCACTTTGTTTACGTCGTTTATATCTCAAGTTCACAATAGTATTTCATGGGCCAATAAGCTTGCGACTCGTCTGCATCTGAATTATCTTATCTAATGAATGGTGCTAGGAAGGTGGAGGCCCGTTGCTATGATAGATGAATTTATGGGTTTGGGTGTTACGGTATTATGCTGTGGTGACAAGTTCGAGTTCGGGTTCCTGGCACCTCACAGAACGCCCATTTGACAAGCCCGTAAGCAAAAGGCCAAAAAGCTGCACGGGACGCCTCATTTGATCGAGGCTAGCGTATTGGCCATTGTCTGTCTTGTGTGAGGCCTCTTACAAGTGCCAACCCCCCCAATTGATTTCCGTAAGAGGGGGGGGCATACAGGTGGGAGGGCAAGACGGCAGATATTGTGTGATAGGGTGCGATAATCTACCGCCATATCGCACGGTGCCAAGCCGTGTGTTTCGATAACAGTGTGGAAAGGATGAAGGTTGAAATTAGAGTTTTGGGGAAAGCTCTCTGTGGGTATCATATATATAGAGTGGATACTCTCCCCTCTGAAACTATCATAGCTGGTCGATGAGTTCGCCCTGCTTCCTCTTTGCCTCCCGCCGTCGTCGACTTTCGAACTGAGTGGATGGACTATACGGGTGACGATCGGTGAGTGGCCCGGCATGGTCCGTGTTCCCGGAATGCTCGCCAATGAAAGGCGAAGAGCACAATGAACTGCAGCCCCCAGCTATCCCGCGCGAGAGCTTCCCGGACATCCGAAGGGGGGAGGCAGACCCCGCTCCAGGTTTATCAATGCCGGTACAACTGCAGCTGCAGAATCCAGCTGCCAGCATGATACCAACCTATGATATCCCAAACTCGAACTCCTCCCACACTATGCTGTGCGCCTTTCAGAAACCTCTAATCCGGCACCTCAATCGCCAATCCAAAGCGTCCCATCGGTCGCACAAACCCGACGTCACCCCTCTTTAGGAAAGAAACTAGGGAAATCCGACAAGAACGCCCAACCGGAGCGGGCCAAGCCATTAAAATAAAATGAGAAAAAGACCAACATCCCCGGTCGAGATTTATCCCAATGACAGGTGTTTTTAAAGCCGGAGACCATTCGGTCGCAGACGACCTCCCATTCTTCCCCGCTGATCCCTCCCTGTTCATAATATCATAATAATTTGTAGTGGGTTAGTTCACGGTGCTCTCACTGTACCGCTACTGTGCGAGTACGGTAGTCTAACTGGCGACAAACCACAACCCGGACGAAGCCTACCCGGTACCCACCAGTAGAGCCTCACTCCCCTCCACAACTCATCTCCCGTCATCCGCAAACGACAGCGCCAACGAACGGGGCGGGATGTGCATGATAAGGGTCCGCCCCGAACCTGGGGAGGAGGAGCAAGTGTCAGTGCCAGCGAGGCTCGCGTACCGCAGTCGGACGGCCAGTCAACATAGCGAAATCCAGGAAACGGCCGTGGTCCAAACGGTCAAAGCCCCGCCACCACCACCCTCAACCCTCTCCCTCGACAACAACCGCGAAGTAACCACCATAATACAAGCTCCCGAGCCGCCGGCGTTGGTAGTTGGCGGCACCGCAGGTGGCGAGATGGTCCGCTATGATCACTATAGAGCTAGCGTCGTGAGTACACATAGTCGGGACTATTACGTCGACTCGAGCGCGTATGCTAGACGATCGCCGAGGAGTTCGTATCGGTATGTTGACGGGCGGGGGTCTGGAAGAGTGGATGCTTTCGGCGTTGGTGGGAGTGGAAGGAAGGAGTTGGATTACGGACGGGGGTCTGGAAGAGTGGATGGTTTCGGCACTGGTGGGAGTGGAAGGAAGGAGTTGGATTACGGGTGGGGGGATAGGTATGGGTACAATAATTACCATGGGAGGAGGAGTGGTAGCGCCAGTTACGCCAATCCGAGGCATTCTACGGCTTCGCATAGGTCTGCACGATCCATGAGAGAGAAGGTGGTCATTGCTGAAGGGTATGGGGGGGAGAAGCTGTATCGAGCCACATGAGCGAACGAGTGGGTAGAAGGATGGGGGATATATCTCGTGATATCGTTTTTTCTTTTTTCTTCTTTTTTTTGGGAAAAAATGTTTTCATGTTGCGTTATCAACGAGTGTTTACGAGTATGGACTGAGGGGCGGGGCGAACTTTCATTGGAAGAACAGAAAAAAGATCATGCATGACTCCCTACCAAGGGTGTGTAAACGCCGTAGGCATGACGCGGTTCTTGTTCCTGTCCCTTTCTGTTGATGGCGTTGGCGGCCTTTTTTTTGGCAAAGATGCAAATCACCATACCTTTGCTAGAAAAAGATCTTGTGCATATTGGTGCTTCATAGTTCCTACCTACTGTATGATAGAGAAATATAACCTTGCTACTAGTTGTACTATAGTTATATTGGACATTTGTCGCTAGAGGGCGCTGCATGATCCAACCCGGCATGTACGGTACCGGTAGCATATCCGGTATTATATAAAATACGTTGCTTGAACTGGCCGGCTCTAGACTAGGCTACCAACTTTCCCCAAATTCTGTGGGCAGTTTATCCACTTATCAATCGATCGCGAGCAAATATGGAAATCGGATTTTAGCCCCTCTAGTGATATCTCCCGCGTGCCTTTAGTAACAGCATTCAGGCCGGCCTCAACGGCACCCAATCAATATCTCCCCCCTCGTCATCGTCCATAAGCCCATCCCCCTTCCCTTTGCCTACTTCTAAAGACCCGCCCCTGGGTGGTAGTGCCGGCCTCTCGGTTACCGGCAAGGCACTCAAACGCTTCGGCGGCGGCTGGGGTAGCCCATGCGCCTGTCTCTCACTTCCGGAAACCTGCATATCCGGTGCCGCAACCTTCTGCGCATCTCTCGACAAGACTGCCGGCTTTCGGGGAACGGTTGGTGGTAGGGGTTTTGCTAGTTTTGCGGAGTGGGGGGGGGAGGTTTCCGATGGTGTTCTTGTGAATGGGTTCATGGTGGAAGGGGAGGTGGTGGGGGGAGGAGTTGGGGGTGGGGGCTTGGATATATTGGAAGTATTTGAGCGTGCAGGGAGAGGGGGTAAATCTGCGGAGTTGAATGGTGGGGGCAATTGCCTGGGGGCGCTTTTCGTAGGGCCGGGGGTTAGCACTGGGGGTGTTGGGCTGCCCGTGGTGTGGGGAGAGGTTTGTGCTTGTTTCCACTGCGGTGGCGGCGGCGGTGGCGGGCGAAAGTCAGCGAGTGCGGGGAGATCGGATTTGTGTATCCAGTCTGATCCAGTGGCGGTTACAAACGGATTTGCTGGGCGTTGGGGGTTTTGGGCGTAGTCGGGACCTGGGGGCTTTACTGTTGATCTTGCAGGCATTCCTAGTTTGGGTGTCAGTGAGGCTTGAAGGGTAGGGGGAAGGGAGGGTGAGGGATACCGTTGTTTAGCCACCATTTTCGACCATTGGAGCTTGGTGGTGGTACTGGCGCTGTTAGTTGGAGCGACGGGGAGAGGGAATTAATTGCGCCACATACGGCCAGGTTGGATTGGCTCAAAGTCTAATAGATGGTCTTCATCTCCTGACTCCTCTTTCCCCGGGCCTGTTACGTGGCCTACTTCTGCACGCCGCCTGGTGTAGATTTCCTTGCTTAACTTCTCTTTCGCGGCTTCATCTACCACAGAGACTACGCATTGAAAGGTGGCGTAAACGGGTCTGTGGTCTGAAAAGCGGAGAGGAGCGGCGCCGTACGACAGCTGGCGTAGGTTCTTCCCTCTGCGAAGCACTCGGTCGCACCAAGCTGGTATTCTAGCTTTCTCGCTGATATAGGGGGTGAGGTTAGCCAAATCCATTCAGACCTAACATAGAGTGGGTTGTCGGGGGATTTACGAGGTATCGTATCTGTCCGTTCCAATATCGTACTTGTAAGTGGGGTCAAAAGTCAACCTTGCCTCTGCAAAATAGGGAAAGGCAAGTCCGGAAATCATTTGGAGATTTAACTACCGGTATGAACTTGTCAGTCTGAAATATAAAGGGGTATAGCCTTGTAGGTGCTACCTGGTCGCTATCGTAGAGAGTCTGCAGATCCCCGAGTTCTACCAACTTCCGGACCTTCTCATCAGGGAGTCCGATCCTGTAGTTAAAATCACCAAGCCATATGACCGCATCATGATCGTCTATGGTCCGACCTCGCTGGAACCTTAGTCCATGCGCGATGGTCCTGTAGTCTCGGTTTCGTTCTTCGTAGTTCGAAAATCCAGCAGCAAGGTGTGCGGTGACGAAACATAGTCGAGTGTTCGCATATTCCATGCGGATAGCGACAGCTCCTTTGTTTCCAGCGACACCCGACATACCGGTCTAATGGGGATAGTGTCAGGAAGCTCTGGAGCTCGACAAACCCCTTAAAGTGAATATGGCCTACCTTTTTCAAACTCCCTTCAACATTCCTGACTTCGCCAATTGCACTAGCCTTTACATATATCAGTAGGGCTGCACCAACAAGCTGCCCCCCTCGAAGAAGTACGTATTCTTCACCATCAGTAGCTCTAGAATGTGAATTGAGTGCCTTGAGTACGGCTTGCTCCCACAGTTGCCTTCGGGCGGGGTCTGTAGACATAATTTGCTGTGGACTCAATTGAACAATCTCCTGGAACCCTACAACTACCAGCTCGGGGTGCAGCTGAGAATTTTCCAAAAACGGCGGACATAACCATTGGGAAAGGTCATCATTTATGCCGGATGTCTGGCCATTAAGGTTGAATGTGCCGACATAAATATGAATATCCTTTTCGTGCGAATATTCCGGTGCTCTGTGAAGGCACAGGGTGCATTAAGACGTGACCAACGATAAAAATGAGCCCCACAGGAGTGGCCTACCGTTTCCTCAATTCCGCGGTAACAAAATCATTGACAGGGTCATACAGGTAGACAGAATGTTGGCCAACCAATCTGCCCTATTGATGGAATTAGTCTTGAGAGGATAGCGTCAAAGTAGTTTTATTTTATTGCTGGGAGGAAGTGGCTTGTACCAATAAAACATCGATGGTGTTTTGTTTTTCTTTATCGACAAAGTTGTTAATGTAAATTCTAGCAGCGCTCTTCCGCGCATCGGCGAATGCGCCGGCGAGGCTCATTTTTCCTGTGCGAGTAAAACTCGACTTTAGGGCACCTGTCCCGGCATAAATTTTGGAAAGTGCCTGGCATAGAGGGTTAGTGTCACGACATGAGTTGGGAAACTGATTCTCACATCACCATTATCGGCCCATAAAGTGGAATGACGAATCCAGAATTCATGCCCAAAGTTTTTACCAGTCTGCTCAAGAAAGGATTCAATTGCCATTTTACTTAATATTCCCTGAACAAGATTTGTCCTATCTAAGCAATCAAGGCAGTTTGTCCTGAAGACACCCTCTTGCTGCAGCACAGCAAATTCTGTTTCCTTTTGGCCTCTTCTACTGGCTCCGTGATTGGATCCGTGGCTGCTACTTTGCATCAAGAAAAACCCGAAGGCATCTGCTGAAGGTTTAATAATGCGGCTTATCATACTGGCTGCCGCATAGCCAGAAGGTCCTTTAGTCTCTGCGTGAAAATCGTATTCGGTAACCTCTAGAAGTGAGGAGTCGCCAAGCTCGTCGCGTTTCTCATCAGACCCGAGGGTTGTTAAAGGGGAGTGTTGGATGTGATGCTTTAGGCGGGAGGACAATTCTGCCTCGCCGTTCTTGGTTTGGGAGAGCAGATTGACGACATGGATTGCACCATACTTTAGTGAGATTGATTCAAAATGTTTGTCAAACGCCGGCTGAGTAGCTTCGCGAGATCTCGTAATTTGTATCTTTTGCTGGTTTGGAAGCAAACCGGTCTGCTGCTCCCAGAATACTAAATCCACAAACAGAAATTTAGCGGACAATAAAGACGAAGTTAAAAACTTGGGCTAAGTGAACGTACTTGGTATGCTACCGCGGATCTGGGAGTAACTGAAACCCAAGCTATTGTTTTGAGAATCGTGGCACGGATCCCAAATAACAGTCTCTGTTTCGACGAAATTTGCGACGTGCCCGTCGTCATCCATCCCACGAGAGTTGAACCGTGTGCCGGCCCTCTTGCAACTTAATCGGCTGACAAGTGTCAATGTTGTGGCTAAGCCGGGGGATCTGGACCCAGTTGAAGTCAATGAGCGGGGAATGGTCAGGGACTCTACGAAGCCACGAATGGTACACGTGAGAATATGAGAAGCGTCTAATTCTGTGCGCTCCTGAGTAGACAGGTGGGACCGGAAGCGGAGTAATGGATGAATCATGTAAGAATTCCATAAGAACGAAGGGTCAAAACTGTCAACATCGAAATCGGCCGCGTCAATTGATCTGGGGTTGATAGGTATAACGGTTAGTGTTGCACATTTGGCAAGGACGACGGGACTCAATATAGGGCACGTCCAGGAGTGGGCTATTACCGCCAAGTATCGGCGCAATCGATTTCAACGCGAAGGTAGTATGAAAGCTGTGGAATGTCCAAATTGGTTTGTAGTCGGTAGTGGGAATAATTGTAACTGACCTATCTTGAAGCCTGTTTGTCAGGTCAAAATCTCGGGAGTAGTAAAATGTCCCACCACTTAAAAGCTTCCTCAACGATAAACATGGATGTTCTGCTCCTGCAGGTTGTTGACTGCGTCCTTGGTCCCAACTGTCTGGATCCATGGTATACGAGTTGACGTCAGAGTCAAGAAAGTCGTCAAAATCGGCACGGTTGAGGCAATCTATTTGAGGAGTTGATTGGTTAAAGGAGCAAGCCTGGAAGCAGGAGAAGGAATGACCTACGAAAATTAACTGCATGTATCCTGAAGACGCCCTCCCCAGGGCGAACTGATGCGACCTGCCGCGCGTTGGTAACAACACAGAGGAAAACATCAAGATTAAGAGTAATCAGACCCAGAGTGCCTACGCAGGGCTGACTCGATAGAGGGCGGTATCCGTCCAGGTCAAGAGAGGCAAGTTCCAGAAATTCAATTATGCATTTAGGAACTGAAGCAGTGGAGGGATCGTCAGTGCGATCTAGGATAGATGCAAAGGATGTATTGCGAGAGATTTGCACAGCCGGGGAGGAGGGTGAGTTTCGCAAAATTAGGGCATGGGAAGCAGTAAGGAGAGCAATTGACCTGTCTGGATAATCTTTGATGCGAAGGTCGATCGGCATGATAAAGAGGGAGCAAAGAGGGGCGATAATGGGTTGAGGTGAGGACGATAGCCGAGAGGAAGTCGAGCGGGAGGGGGACTACTTGTACTGGATGGTACCGCATGTAGTGACACCTGTCACGTGTCTAGGCAAGACACAAGGTCCAAAAGCATGATAGACCAATTGACAGGGTTCCAACAATGAGAGGGTACCGGAAACATATTTTTACATAAGGGAAATTATTCTTCACTGGAAAGGGAGAGGGAAAAAACAGGTTTCAAGAGGGTAATCAAGTATGTGTGACATCAATGAAAATAATAAACATGCAGGTGTCACTGAAAGTTATTAGCAATAGGGGGTTTCACACCGGTGGTTCACCACGGTTCAACAAAGCGGTTCATGGTTCACCAACCATGAACTATTATAGAAAAATAAACTGCGGTACTAGTACCAGCTCTGATGGTGGTACTCAGGATGGTTTGGTGGTTCAGAGAGTGGCAGTACACTCTTGGCTGGCAAGGAAAGAGGAATGGTCACTAGTTACTAGTGGTGAAATTTTTTTTAGCAGAGGATAATTTCTTATAATGAATAAAGACACCAATCATTTAATGAGAAGCTTAAGATTTATTCACACCATAAGCCGAGCAATTCAGAATGCCTTCCGCAACCTGTTGTAAATAAACTGTTAAAGAACTACTTATTATAGTGCTTCTTTTTTGAGTTATTAAACAATATTGATTAGACCTTACACCACGAGTTCTAAATTCTCATATTCTTCTTTTATTGTTGGAGCAGGTTCTATCACGGCACTATTTACAAACATGAAGCCTTATTCCAAAGAGTACCAGAGAAATTGACCTTTGTCTACATATTTATGGAGGCTCTACCAGGCATGAGTTTGCCTGCCATTTTTGAACATTTGCCTGCATGTTTCCTACAACCTTCAACAAACTTGTATCTATTATTTCTTGCTTGCTGAGTTTTATCAACCAATTGTCTAATCATGAACAGCAAATCAGTGTGGAGTGTCAGCTGTTATTTGCTTTCAATCATTTTAGAGCTCAGGGTAATGGTACCTCTATCAGACAGGTGGTACTATGGGTTGGAATAGGAGAAAGCACTATTGTACTTTGTATAAATAGAGTATTATATAGTACCAGCGGGCGCTCCGAATGGCCCTTTGCTACGCTTCGGGATTCGGAGGCGAGCTTTTTGCAATGGAATAAAGTAGAACATTTAGGACTATCTTTAAATGGCCCTTAACTTCACTTCAGGATTTAAAGGCCTCTCTTTGAAAATTGATTGAAAGATTTATTGAGGCATTAAAAGCAAAACAAAATCAACAAATGAAAAAGAAATAAAAGACTACTGAACATGTGGAAGAGCTGGACGGAAAACAGGATTTGGGGTGAGATTGTGCTCACCATGAATATTGTTGCGGAGTGGAATACCCAGGTTTGCAGGATTAGTGACTCGTGATAATGCTACATACAGTTGACCATGTGCGAAGCATTCTTGCTGAAGGAAAATACCAACATGGCTTAGACTCTGCACCTGGGCCTTATTGATTGTCATCGCAAAGGCAAGACGCAACGGAAACTGTTTTCGCCGTAACCTAACTGGGAGAGCTTCATCTTGACCGGTTGTAAATACAATATGTGGGATGAATACACGATGGCCAGCGAAGTCTCCCAATAAAATCTTTCCTTCAATCACACGCCTTCCTAGAGCAGTAACAATAAGTCGTGTTCCATTGCATACTCTATCCCTTGGAGCTATGTTCCGAATCACCATAACTGGAGTCCCAATCTTGACGTCAAGTTTATGTGGTGGTAGTGAGGGGGAGGTAAGTGTATTGAGAAATTCGATTGGATAAATATTATTTTCATCATCGTCGGCTGAGTCCTCACTTAGGAATGTTACCACCTCACCGGGATTCTGCTAAAGCATATGGCTATTAACCATATCAACTGTGTCATTATGCAGGACAAGAATAGCTCTTGCAGCAAAAAACTAGACTCTATTTTCTGCTATCCCAGGTAAATGGTCATAAATGTATAAGAGCAGTGCAGTAAGTGTTTGCCATTGTACCAAATACTCTGTAGGTATCGAAATAAAGGTATCAACTACTGCAAGTCTTGGATCGCCATCGCCAACTTGAAGAATTCAGCTCGCAACGTTCCTTGCTTTCTCAATAGCTGTAGGGTCTAGATTGCTAGTCTGTATACGCAAATTCTCTGTAAGGTGAAGATGGTTGACGCCTTCCTAAAACGAAGTATGTTGAATACTGGCAGCAGCACTCTGCCCCATCGAAGCGCGAGGAATTACTGGAAGTGTTTGCCGGAAGTCGCCAGCAAACAGGATAGTAATACCACCAAAGAACTCATTACTTGAGCGGAAATCTTGAAGCAAGTGGTCAACACAGTGAAAGCAATATCGGTGTTGACATGGCGATTCATCCCGGACAATAAGCTTTGCAGAATTAAGAGCGTTCTCTGCCTGTGTGCTTTTATGAAGGAATGAAATTCCATCAGCAGTAATGGGTACTGTGATTCCAAATTAGGAGTGAGCAGTTCGGCCGTAGGGGAGGAGTTGTGCAGCAATCTCAGTTGATGCAACTGCGATTGCAGTATAGCCCTGGGAATAGATATACGCTAGAATAAGTTGAATAACAGTTGTCTTGCCAGTACCACTGGGCCTATCTAGGAAAAAAAGTGAAGCAGAATCTGAGGTGACAGAGGCAGTGACTGCGGAATAGGCATTGAGCTGCGATGGGCTTAGTTGAGAGACTCGGGCCTCGAATTCGTGCTCACTAAAGCCTATTTCTTGTCCTGGATCTGTATTAAGATCCAGGTTCTGGTTGGGGATTGGAAGAGAAAAGTCGGCGAGGGGATGATCATGAAGGCGGGGCAATTGGTGTAGTAGGCAGAGGCAGTGATCAATAGCCTGAGACTCAGTAGGATTGTGTAGTCCAAGGCATTGGAGTCGTGTCCGACAGTCATCAACAAGATGCTCTGCGTACTTATCCCATAAACCACGTGGGTCTGATGGAGTACAATTACAGAGAACTAGCACAAAAAGAGCTCTGAGCTGTGGGCCTGTCTGGATTCCTGTAGCTTCATGAAGACAGTCATCATACTCCTGATCATCGTTGATTAACCCTCTGGCCTGGCACGCTGCACGAAATGTTGAATACACATTTCCATCAACGGTACAGAGGTCGGTGAAGCAAGTAGGACCACGAATATGGTAGAGAAGAACGCGGAGGAAAAACCGTTCTCCTGACTGTGGACTTGCTATTGGCATACGCCCAATGGCATAGCCTCTTCTTCGCACTTTCCACTCCTTTGCAGAAGCATCCCAAGTGAAGTGGATTGGCATATATATATAGACTAGATTCTGTGCATTGCCAATTCCATTGCGACATGCTTCAAAAAACTCAGTCAATGTAGTCTTCCACAGTTGGCGGTGTTGAACCTGGACGGAAAGGTCCTCTCCATCATTGAAAGTCACTACTTGCTGGTCAGGCAAGTGAACCTGAAGGCGCTGGCTAGGTGGAGCGGACTCGTGTAAGGGGAAGCCCAGGATCTGATATGTGGCCTCTGGTGCTGATACATACCGTGTATCAGTATAGGCCGAAATCTCATCCATATCTCCATGGTTATCTTAGTCAAGATGAAGAAGTACACGATCGGACCCTTTAAAAACATATTTAAAAAGGTATTTCACAACCCGGAATGAAGAGCAGATTTCCGTATTAATATGACAGTCGTACTTCACACAGAGATATGGATTATAGGGTACGACATTCTGGTTCATAAAGTAAATGTCTTGCCCACCAATCCGTTTAACAAAAACTGTCGATGGTTCATGACGGCGACGATAGACTGGATAACCTGACTTAATTGCAGTAGTCTCTTCAGTCCAATCTTCGGGAAAGCCTTTCTCACATCGACCATCCACGATTCATCGTGAGTTACAGCTGTGAAGCATATTCCGTGTAACAGTCTCATAGAGCTTGTGGCACTCATTCTCCGCTGGAATCTACGCTGATACAATAGAGTCGTAGTCTATAGGATTGTGTAATTTACTTGCAGAGTCAAAGAAAAGCAGAGGGTGAAGATGGGGCAGTCCTCTTTTTTGAAATTCTGTAACACCAACATGTGCTACAACAGACCCTAGCACACCAACTTTGAGAATATCTCGTAGAATCTCGTTAAGGTAAAGCTTGAAGACTCGACTAATCAAGTCAGGACGGTCTGCTGGACTCTGCCCCGGAAGCAAACTATGACAAATCCTGGGCCAGTTTGGATTACAGGTAATCGTCACAAAGAGATCCGGTTTACCATAGACACAGCAAAGGGTCATGGCATCTTGATAGAGTTGAACCATACTCCGGCTTCCACCTATAAATGTCGATGGTAGAATAAACCTTCGGCCAATAGAAACTGCATCTTGTGGGTTATCGGAACCAATACTATCCATAATTTCTCCGTAAAGGTCTGCGCAGAGCTGAGCTTGGTTTAACCAGAGATATCTCAGCTGATTGGCCTCAGTTTGAACCCAAGAGTCCACAATCCATTCATGAAAAAGAGAAGCCCCTCGATGAATAATGTTAAAAGAATTACATCATGTAAAGAGATGGTAGGTATAGAATTCCTTTTGCGTAACGCGCTCTTGAGATCTGGTTATCATAGTGCGAGGAATCGATGGATGCCATCCTTGATCCCCCGCTGGAAAGAACAAAACAAATCGAAGAGGCATATTTGCAGGATGCATCTCATCAAACCTTGAAAGCTGACCTCCAGTACGTCCTTGAGCAATAAACTCACGACCACGAGTAAATTCCTCCTCATCCTCACGCAAAATAACCGCTGCTACCTCATTCGGAGAGGTGGGTAGGTTGTATCGCCGAGGGTCCTGGGTACTTTGTTGAAGACGGATGGCCAGGTATCCAGCATGAGGGATATCATGAAGATGCTCAAACGTAAACTGCCACTGCCGTGCATAGGGGTTGACAGTAAGAAGCTCCTCTTGAAGCTCCCCAATAACCTCCGGGCTTAAAGAAGTACTGCGAAGCCGGGCCTGCACTTGGGCCTCAGGGGTCCCAAGCATGTAAATTTGAGCATAGCGAGGAGACTTACTAGTAGTAAGTGACCCCATTAAAGGAGCAAGCTGACTCTGAATGCGGAATACATAAGGGCCTGGCCGTTGCATAACATTCAGATCGAATGAAACACCAAGAGATAGGAAGGAAAATGTGTTATTGTATTCATGGATATTCTTCAGGAAGGTGGCAGATTGGGCATGCTCTCGATTGAAAAATCCCTGCCAAGTTACTGACGGAGTAGCAAAGGCAGGGAGAGAAATCTTTCCGTCAAGACAGCATGCTGAAAACCTGGGAGATGCAGCCGAGGATGAGGTAAGTCGCTCCTCCAAAAAATGCAATGCCTGACACTGCGGGCATGGAATTGAGAGACTTGAGACAGCAAAACGAATTGATCTCCCTGTGGCTGTAATCCACCGAAATGTCCTCCCTAATGGAAGATTAATGGCCTCAGCACAGTGAATAGCTGTGGCATTGGTGGGGATATATGGACTGCAGTGGCCACCTAGAACAGTATTGACGGAAGCCGGTACAGTGATTTGGTGGGGGGTAGGAGCCACCTCAATGGTAGAGTTGCGGCGGTGGCGCTCATGATATCTGGCTGATAAACGGGAACGACATTGACCACATGTCCTAAGTCGATTGCCCTGCCTGTTCGTACCGAAAGATGAAAACAGCCATTGTCGACGACATGTACTGCAAGTAAAGTTTTGGTTGCGATCGGACATAGCTAAAGATCAGAGCCTGAATCCTATCTCAAGTGTCTGAAGCTGTACATGATGCTCTTGGAAAAAGAGGAAAAAGAGGGCTGACAGTCAGGTGAGCGTAAAACTTTTGTCATCATGTGACCTTAGTGGAGTTATGTATAGAGAGATTTCATTATCCAGACTGTGGGAAAAATATTTTTCCTGGCTAATGAAGGAGCAAAAATATTCATACGAGAAAAGAGTTGTGTTCCGGTTTTGGGCTATAAGCATAAAAGAACAGATGAATAAGTCTTGCAATATACATGGTTGTTTGGGTGTTATATGATACTTTGTTGTCCAAGCTAGGGCAAAACTGGAGTTGTATACTTGTTTGTAGATTGTTACCTGTTTCCTGAAATTTGTTTGCACATATGTTTTCTTGGCAATTTCTGTTTGTTGAAAAGAGTGTTCTTATACTCTTTTTAGTTCTTTTTCTTTTTCTTTTCTCCTCAGTTTGTATCTTCTGTATTTACTTTTCAACAAAGATACTTGTTCCTCTATTCTCTTCTCCTCTCTTGCTCTCAAGCTGTCTTGACCCCTTATCAGTATCTGATATTAGAGCCTTGTTAGGCTGCTACTCCTCGTCTCTCTCTCATTTGTCCTGGGTACCCCTTGACTTCATCCTCACCTTGTCCTCCTCCATTACACTATACAAACTTTATTATAGTCAACCAGTACAACCTCAGCTATGGTTCATCTGTCAGAAGCCGCCATACAGGCTCCTATTATCCATGTATGAGAAAGACTTGCAAATCTCCTGACCGGTATCATGGAAACTCTGATTGGTACCAAAATCAATGTGGATAGCAAATCCCAAATCATCTATGACCTTCGCCTAATTATTGACTGGACTATGCAGAGACAAAGTGAAGCGTGGGAGCTTTAACAAGAAAATGCCAACCTCTAGGCCAATGCCTTGTGCCTTTAGACTGACCTGGACTGGGCAAATGGGACCATTGATATTTTACAGCGCAATATTTAGGCTACGAGCATCGATGGGTCCAATGCCCTGAAGCAGCAAAACATTCCAGATCCAGATAAGTTCAGTGGTGACTGTAAGGAGCTCAAACCATTCCTTTCTCAGATCCGGCTTAAGTTTCAAGGAAACTCAGCTATGTTTCCTACCATGCATCTCTGCCTCACCTATATTGCCTCACTTGTTAAAGGCTCAGCCTATGCTCATATCGAGAAGTATATTTCCGATGGATTCACATACATTCCCAATGTAGAAAGTTTGTTGTAAGTGTTGTCTAAAGCATTTGGTGACCCTGATGAAACTGGAACCACTGAGCAAGAGGTGAAAAACCCACGTTAAAAGACTACCGACTTTGTGACATACTATGCTGAGTTTTGCTGTCTTATGACAATTCTGAAGGGGGAGACAGGGGCTTGTCCGAGCGGTGCTTGCCTTTGACAGGGACTAAGTACAGAACTCAAAGATGGTCTTGTTGTTCTGAACAAGAAGTAGGACTTTGTAGAGTTTGTTTCCCAGCTTCAAAACCTGGACAGTCAAATCCATGCATGCTCCCAGGAATTGAAAAGCAACAAGTCCCGTTCCCTGATTCCTGGTTCCTCCTCTAATCCAAGCTCTGTGAAGGCTTTTCCAAATCTACCCACTCTGACAAGAGCAAATGAACCATCTTTTCAGCCTGGCGGCGCAGTTTCTATGGGGTTAGATGTTGCATTCTGCACTACCTGCTGAGGAAAGGCAGTGCAGAATGCAGGAAGGTCAATGTCTCTACTGTGCTGGCTCTGGCCATTTTACCCGAGAATGTCTAAACAGACATCCAAGACTACTACATACAGTCAAATCCACTTTTCCTAGGCCACCCGTCTCAAGCCTACTGGATCCAAATGCGGAAGAGGCAAAAAACGCCTTTACCAGGAAATAAAGGGTAATGTCTTCCCTGATATAGTTCCTGTTTTCAGTTCTGTTTCTCTATGCTGTTCTGGTTTGTCAATAGTTGCTCTTACTGAGAAGGAGATAGAAGGCAAATATCTTGTTGTTAGTTGCATGCTAGCTCTCAATGGCTAATCTTTTCGCTCATACACACTTATTGACTCTGGTGCAACCAGATTTGGATTTATTGATAGGACCTTCATTCGTCATCACAGCCTATATACACTCCCAATCAATACTTCATCAGTACTCAAAGTAATTGATGGATGCCAAATTGCATCTGACTTAATTACCCATTATGTTGAAATCTCGTTATGAGTTAGTACTCATGAGAAACATGTGTGGCTCTTTGTTACTACCCGTGGTTACTACTCAATTGTCTTAAGAATTCCATGGCTTGGGAAGCACCACATGAAGATTGACCAGGTGACCTATACACTCACCTTTGATTCTCCTTTCTGCCTTAGGCAGTGCATTGCAGAATACTCTCCTCTAGTTCAATCAGGAATTACAAGTTATTTTTCTGAACGCCCAAATATACTCACACTTGACTGTGTTGACTTCCATGATTTGGTCGAAGAAGAAGGCCTTCAAATATACAGTATTGATAATAGCTCCCTGGATCCAACATTTGACAACTTCAGGAGCCGTATTCCTACAGCATACTGGGATTTTTTAGATGTTTTCAGCAAGTCAAAAGTAGATAAAATACCTCCCGACTGTGCAATTAATCGTACAATCCCCTACAAGATGGAGGACAACCCCCTTGGAAGCCACTCTACAGTATGTCAGAATCTGAGCTTGAGGCCTTATGTGAATTCCTAAAAGACAATTTGTCTAACGGGTTTATTCAGCCATCATCCTCCGCCGCACAGACCCCTGTTCTCCTTGTAAAGAAAAAGGATGGTTCTCTCTGTCTATGTGTTGACTACCATGATCTCAACAATATTACTCTCAAAAATCGGTATCCCCTGCCTCTAATCCACTAGACTTTATATTAGATTGGAACAGCAAAAGTTTATACTAAGCTTGATTTACAAGAAATATACAATCTATTACCGACCAAGGCTGGTGAAGAATGAAAGACTGTGTTTGGTACCTGATATGGGCATTTTGAGTTTTTGGTGATGCCTTTCGGGCTGACAAATACACCCGCTACATTTTAGTTCTTCATAAATGACCTCTTACAGGATTATCTGGATGACTTTTGCTTTGCCTATCTGGATAATATCTTGATATTTTCCAAGAGCCTGGAGAAGCACTGTATATATGTTTGCCAGATACTCCAAATACTTCAAGACAATGAAATTTTCTGTGAGCCTGAGGAGTGTTACTTTGAGGTTGATGACATGGAGTATCTTGGATTAGTTATTTTACCAAAAGGGGTAGCAATGGACCCTGCGAAATTGTCTGCCATCACAGAATGGCCAGTACCTAAAAGTGTCAATAATGTGCAGTTCTTTCTTGGATTCTCAAACTTTTACCACCATTTTATGGAAGGGTACTAAAGGATAGTTGCACTCCTGACAAACCTCACAAGAAAAGATGTTGCATTCACTTGGAATTCAGAACACAAGTCTACATTTACATGACTAAAGCGCCAATTTACAATGGCCCTGATTCTCACCCATTATGACTTTTCACGTCCCAGCCTCATGAAAACTCTTGCCTCCGATTAGGTCTATGCTGCTACATTGTAGCCAAAAGATGACTCGGGCATTCTTCACCCAGTTGCCTTTTTCTCAAAAAAGATGATACTGGCTCAATGCAATTATCCTATATGCGATAAGGAGTTGCGTGCAGTTGTTCTTGCCCTGAAAGAATGGAGACCATATCTGGAAGTCTCGCTATTGGAAATATCAATTCTTACAGACCATAAAAACCCAGAGTATTGTATGTCTACAAAGATGCTTAATACACGGCAGGCAAGGTAGGCTGAACTACTACCTCGTTTCGACTTTAAAATGTCTTTTCGACCTGGTAACTCTGGTGGAAAGCCAGACTCCTTGACCCATCAGTCTGAAGACCTTCCTACAGGAGGGGATGAGACACTAGCATATTAGCTTCAGATACTACTGGATCCTAATAAACTGAAACTAAATACAACCTTTACGTCTTCTGCTGAGTTTGTTGATCTCCTCGATAAGGATTCTGCAGCTGACTCATTTCCATCCAAGATTCTTGGTCGCCTTAACAAACACATACATCACACATGGGAGATCTCGCTCCCAGACTGTGCAAGCAACCAGAAGCGATTATACTTCCAGAATGATCTCTTTCTCAACAACTATGACCCCCTCCATCTGTTTGTGCTTTAGAATCACCATGACTCAGGCTCCGCTGGTCACCCAGGACAAACAAAGACCTTCAGTCTTGTTACTAAAAATTACTTTTGACCAGGAATAAGGAGATATATTGCATGCTATGTCCAACCCTGTCATGTTTGGTCCAGAATTAAGTAATTGAGGCACTCCCTCTATGGCAACCTGAAACCACTATCATGCCCTGACCAGCCATAGAATAATCTCACTATTGATTTCATAGTGGGGCTCCCTTCAAGTAGCGGCAGCAATGTGATTCTGGTAGTTGTTGATCACTTAACCAAGATGTCATACTTCATCTCCTGTAATGATACTGTAATATCTGAGGACCTAGCCTGCCTTTTTCGGGATGCTGTTTCGTAGCTTGATGGCTTACTCGAGTCTATTGTGTCAGATACAGGCCTGATGTTTATTTCCGAGTTCTGGAAAAGCCTTTGTAGTATTCTTGAAAGACAGTCAAAGCTGAGCACAGGCTTCCATCCAGAAAGCGATGGTCGGACAGAGTAGACAAATGCCATCTTGGAGTAATACCTTAGAGCTGATATCAACTACCAGTAGGATAAGTGGTGTGCATGGCTTTCACAAGCAGAGTTTGCTGTCATGGCCACCCGGCTATGGAGATGGAACATGCAGGGACTTTTGGTTGCATATATTGATTGTGGTTTTCTTGGTTGCATAGTTGGATTTCCTTTGTATAAGTAATTGGGATGCGTTGCCGCGCAATGGAAGATGGCGGAACCTGACAGAAGGATCCCGGCTGCACTTGATGCCAAGAATTTTCTTTTGTATTAGTGATCATGGAGGAATTCTG